GGTTACATTTTAATAGGTCCTTTACATCTGTTTTGGAATGATTTCCATCTTTTATGGTACATGGCTTGAATTATATCATTCTCATATCTCTCCTTGTAAATACTAGAAGCTCTCATTTCCATTTCTCTACCAAATTTTTCATCTTTATGGATTTCCCAATTATGAATCTTGTCTTTATGAATATGTATTTTTCTTTTGCAAAAGCTAAAAATCAGTGAAACAGCAGTGTAATTAAAAGCAACAACTGGATTACTCCAAATTTCCAAATGATAAGACTAGGGAAAAAGAGCCTACATAGGACTTTAGGCCTACTCTTTCTGTGCTTGGATTTGAGTGAACATAGGAAATTTTAGCTTGGCTGTGTTCTCCCATGGATGAAAGGGAGGATTTTTTGTTTTCTTACGGCCATTGATGTTCCAGCCAATGGAATTGACAGAAGTCTCATTTTGCATGCACTCTGCTCTACAAACAGAGTTGGTATGGTTGGTATACTGTACTCACCTGTGAAGGACTGGCCACTCAGACCCACTTACCTGCTGAGCTAGAAGATGAGGATCACTCACGGACAAGCCACGGGGACCATCTCCAAACAAGCTGGCAGTGCTTGATGTGGACACAGAGTGAGGAAGAGAAAAAGAAGGAGCACCATGGAAAAGGCCCTGTCTATGCTGAACAGCAGACAGCTGCCAGGGCCATGAACTATGTAGTCAAAGAAAAGAGTCATGTGGCAGTTTCAGCTCTCATTCATTGGGCAGCTCTCCTGGGCCTGGCCTCTGAGCTGACATGGGAGTTGTTGGATTATTTGTTTCATAGCTTTTTCTATGTCATAGGCAATATTGTTGTTCTTGGAAAGTTTATTTTTTTTTAATTCCCTTATTATGAGAAAGGGATATTTTGAAGGACTGTCATATATCTTTGAAAAAAGAAAATCTGTAATACATATATTTTTATGTATGTTCACTGGCACTAAAAAAAAAAAAGTAGAGAGAGCTTCATTCTGTCCTTTGGGTAGTTGTTGAGGTAATTGTCCAGGTTGAGAAATAATGTGCTGATGCTAGAGTCCCTCTCTGTCCATGCTCTACTTGTAAATACATATAGGCATACACAGTAAGTTATATTTGACTTGTACTTCAAGAGAAAAATATGTCCACCATCCACAGGATACTGATACAAATGAGCTAACATTGAGCTTCAAGTAGCTTCTAAGTGTTTGTTTCATTAGGCACAGCACAGATGTGGCCTTTCCCCCTCCTCTCCCTTGATATCTGGTAGGGCAAAAGGCCCAAGCCCCTTCCTCTGCCCCTTCCCAGCTCTGCACCAAAGCTGCATTTCAGGAGACTCTCTCCAGACAGCCCAGTAACTACCAGAGCATGGCCCCTGTATAGCCCTGAAAAAGTAAGAGGCTGGCTGTCTATGAGTTATCTTGTGCCAGTTGCCCAGGTGAGAGGGCACTGGGCCAAGGGAGTGGTTTTCATGTTTGACCCACTACAAGAGGTTATGGGAATCAAGAATGCCAAAGCACCGGATCAAATCCAAAACTTAAAGTCCAAATAAGCCATTCAGCACGTTCAATTTCTTGGAAAAGGAAGCTTTTACCCCTGTTGCCTTTGTAGGCAAATCTGTTCTCATCATTAATCTTTTTGAAAATCTTTTAAAGCAGTTTTTAAGAAGAGAGATGAAAGCATCACATTATGTAACCAAAGATTACATTGTATCTGCTAAGATACCAAAATTTATAAGGACAGGGAGGGAGCAAGCATTAGTGCCTCTTTGATAAGCTATCCAAAGACAGACTAAAGGACTTTGCTGGTGACTGACTTATAAGAGCTTTGTGGGATTTTTTTCCCTAGTAATATACATGTTAAGAAGAGTTGAAGATAATTTGAGGAAAATGGGATTATGGGTCCTTCACTAAGTGATTTTATAAGCAGAACTGGCTTTCCTTTTTTCTAATAGCTGCTGAGCAAATTCTTGAAGCTCCATCATTGCATGGTTGGAGATGGAGCTGTTCTTAGCCACTGTGTTTGCTAGTGCCCATGTTAGCTTATCTGAAGATGTGAAACCCTTGCTAATAAGGTGAGCATTTAAAGAACTAGATTTTGCACTAGAGGGACAGCAGGCAGAAATCCTTATTTCTGCCCACTTTGGATGGCACAAAAAGTTTTCTGCAGTTGAAGGCAGAAGGTTGAAATATAATGTAAATGAATATTTGTATTCATGTTTCAAAATTGAAATATATATATGTATATATGTATATGTATACACATAAACATATATACACACATATATATATATAGTGTGTGTGTGTGTGTGTGTGTGTGTGTGTGTGTGTGTGTGTTCTGATAGCTTTATTTCTCTCTGCATCTTTATATTTGGTTCCAGATTACGCCTGATGCCATGTACTTGTGAAAGAAGATGCAGTTATGTTTTGTAAGCTCTCTCAGAACAGGCAAGACACCTAGATTGATCAGATAACTAAAAGTTTTCTCCCCTATTGGGT